TAAATTTTTTGCCGAACCTATAATTTTTAAAAAACCCAATTTTGACCTATAAACGCCATGGGACCCAATTTTTTCCGGGATTTTTTATAAGCGCTTGGATTAAAGTTTCAAACGATGCCAAGGAATTATCTGAAATTAAATTAGTATAGTAGTGAGAGGACAAAATGTTTGTATAGAGTTCTATGGGAAAATAATTGGTACTCTTTTCCCTTTTAAGTCACCGTGCGTTTCTGCGGAGTTAGAACAATTTGAATAAAAAATATTTAACATTCATGTAATAGAATATTAAGAAAGAGTGTCTAAATGTAAAATAAAAACGCATAATAATCATAAAATTAAAATTTTATGAATAATGGGTTAAATGTTTCATCCAATCCTGATTGACAAACTCCGACGTAACTGAAGTGCGGAGAAATAAGCACACATGTTGGGCATAGTCTAAAGCAAGGACCGCGTTATATACATGTAAAAACAAACTTTTACTTTCTCTACTTCAACAGGATTTGTTGTATATATAATTTAAACTGACGTGTAAATATAAATATACATTGTACTTTTAATACGGAAATTTTTCAAAAATATGACTTAATCTTAATTTATTATCAGACAGAATATTAGGAGATTTTTCTCCTACAGACAAGGATAAAGCGCGTTTTACAACATGCCAAACCTTTTCCGTCCATGTCACACCAAAACAAGATAGAGAAGAAATGTAGTGGCGGATCTAGAAGGAGTTGGGGGTTTCAACATCCTCTGAGCGAGCGAGGAGCCCCGCATAGTTGAAAACTTGTTACGTTTTATTTAATGTTAAACTATCTCTAGTTAGATAAGTTTAAACGTTAGTTTTAATGGTTAAGTGTTAAAACTACTTAAACATCAAACTTCCGCGAGAGTTCGTTTATAAACTTACTGAGTGCGGGGACACAGAGGGCTATGAGTAAGTTGCTTAAATACATTTTATTTGTAGCAATGTACATGTATTATGTACTGAAGAAAATCCTGGGATGTCGCATTCAAATGTTTAATGTCACAGGGATATATATTAATTAACAGATAAATAGAAGAATTCAGTTTCTAATTTATTGTATGAAAGAATTAATTGGTTTGCGGCCGATTTTTGACGCTTGCGTCAATATGTTTCTTGTTGGATATTATACACTTATCCACTGGTTGTGAGTGGGATAGCTCTTTTATCAAACCCTTGACAGAGAACTATTCCCTCGGGCAAGCCCTCGGGGAATAGTTCTCTGTGCGGGTTTGATAAAAGAGCTATCCCACTCACAACCAGTGGATAAGCGTTTTATTATACTGATGCATAATATAATTTCTGAAGTTTGAATTTTTTGGAGTAAGATAATTCTGCAAGAATAATCTAAATCTTGATGACGTCACAATGCTACTGAAGTCATTATGACATCATCTGTTTAAAGATGTTTTCGCTGGAAATCAAAATTGGCGGCAACAATTGCATGAAAATTTTCCGCGGGTGGAGGCATAAACTATACCCCGGGATATATAGCTTTGCTATGCGTGGACTATAAAGGATAGTTGTTTTACCTGCTGAACATTATATAGGAAACATTATAACAGAAGCATGATAATTTTTTTGATATCCCACAGAACTTGCAGTTGTGACGTCACAATGGTTTTAGCGGTAGCATGATGAAGTTGAGAAAGTGCAGTCCTTAAAACAGTGCAAAACATTGGTTGTGAAGAATTAAATGAAGGATATGGAGATAACGAACAGTAATCAATCTCAAAGTCCATAAAACAATATAAAATAGGAACAGAGCAAACATGGACCTCCGAAACATCAGAGGTGGGATCAGGTGCCATGAAGGAGTGAGCTAAATAAATATGAGATAAAAGAATCTCCCTTTATTTGTAGTTGGATTTGACTTATTTAACTCTTTTTGTTTTTTTATTTCCTCTCCACGTCTCTGGAGTAAAATAAAAAAACAACTCCTTGGATACAAATCATATCCAACTACAAATCATGGGAGATCCTATATATATCAAATAAAGACTATGTCAACTTTCAATCATCTTTAATTTAAATAAAGATTACTGAGTGATCTATTAGGAAAATAAGAAATGAACTTGTATTTCTAGTGATAATGTAGAAATAGATAATTTTGCAGTTCAAAATACAACATTTCGTAATAGAGAAGTCAGTATAAATCGGAGGTGGTATAATAATTGAAATGATATTTTATTTTTCACTTCATATATTGGATTTTCTTAACATGCCCGGTATAATTTTCTGCAACAAACAAATCGTCTCTTTTATCGACATATAAACCATATGGGGACTTTAAATCGCAGTTTTTTATGCAACAGAGGAACAGGCCATCCTTATTAAGAATGTGGATACAGTTGTTTTCTCTGTCTGTGGTAAGGATCTGACCGAGACTGTCTGTTGCTATCCCATAAGGTACGAATGATTTGTTGTTCTTTGTAGTAGATGGATGACCGGTGTATCTAAATCGGACTTTTCCGCTGTGGTTAACTATAACTAAGGCACTGACATCCTTGTCAGCCACACATATATCCAGGTTTCTGTTCTCACTGATGTACTTTGTTTCATGCTTTCCTGAATACAAAGGTTCACCTTTATCACCAAACTGGATTGTTTGTGTCTCTTTAAGACCTGAGAAACGAACAACTTTGGACTTATTTTTATCGTCACTGCACATAGTAACCAGGAGATGCCCAGAAGACGTGACACAGAGATTAATAGGTGTCCAGCCCTGAAGTTTGATCACCTCCTCTGTCTGTCCATTCCTTACTTTATACACAGTTCCATTACTCCAGTCTGAGTACAAGAGATCGCCGTCATCTGTCACTGCTATATCATTCGGCATTCTCCCAGATTTTGTTTGAATTGTCTTCATTAGTGAGCCATGAATGTTGTAACATTTCAAATCACTAACCTTGAGTGTCCTTGTCCAGATTTCTGCACCGAAACAGGTAACACCGAGAAGGTTGTCGTACCTAGTATTTATAGTAGTGTAAAGTTTCGGTTCTTTCAACAGCTCCTTGGTAGATGTCTTTAATGTGTAGCTATTTTTCTTTTTGCTTTTGGATAACGGTGTCAGGGATCCAAACAACTTGCTGAAATGATCTATTTCTTTTGTTTTTGAATTGAACGTTGGTAGTGATACATGAACTCTCGGAAGAAGATTGCTGAATTCTTCGGTTTGGGAGATATAATCCATGGCCAGAGACACTTCATTTGATTCTTTAATTCTATTCAGGTTAAGCAATGTTTTGTCAATCCGACTTTGTATACGTTTGATTTCATTTAAATGTTTTTGCAAAATGCTCATATGTTGGGATTTTTGTTCTTCAATTTCTGCCTTCATTTGATCAACAATGGTATTGATTACTCTATGGCAGTCTTCCCCTTATTCAGTCACTGCTGTTGTTAGTTTCTCATATTCTCCATCCAGTTTAGATATCTGAGTTTCTAACTCTGTAGCTATTTCTTCACATGTTGGAAAAAAAATGTTTTCGATTTCTTCAGTGTCTTTGTTTATGACTTCTAGTTTTACATTATAGATATCTGAGAGAAGTAAATGGTATGGCCCTTGTGTGTATCAGATATTATACACACAAGGAACATACAGAAATATCGCATTCTTTGCAATAAAATTTACAGTTTTTTGTTTGATGTATTGTGCAATTAGGATAAATCAAGGTTGAGTTTCTTTGTTGAAATGGTACCACTTTATGTTTGTCGTAATCATCAGAAACATGTTTTCCAATACAAGAAATGCACAGGTTGACTTGACATAAATCACAAAAAATCTGCGCTATAGCGTCCTCGCAAAGGCCACATCGGTTGGTAATGTAGGTAGGATCCATGGCGAATCTAAGTTTTAATAAAAACAGTTATATGGAGGAACAAAATTTGAAATAACTGAATTTAAATCGGTCAATAAAGAAATGTTTTGCTGCTCATACAGATATTGATTAACCATTGTTTCAGAGGAAAATAAATGTTTTATTCTCGAAAATAAAAATGAGTAACATTTCACTCTTAATATAAAAGATAAGTTATATGTTCAATATCATATTTATATCATGGCGTATATAGAACTTAAAAAAAAAATAATTTGGTCAGAGATATGTCAAAGGACACACCCTCCTTCGTCTATTTAGTTATCTAAAAATAAATTTATACTTCTGTGCAATTTTATGCCAATCAAGCTACTTACCTGTATATTTAAATCATTTTAACATATAACGCCGATGCATAAAACGGTGTTTTCTTTTTTCTGAAATTGGAATCACAAATAACGGCCCGTGTTATCTTCAAAGCGGCCTTGGGATAAATGGCTAGGTACTTTGTAAGGTCTGGTGTAATGTAGAATTATCTTTCTTGAATTATTTTCCTATGTTGTATTCCTTAACGACAGGAAAACCTCGAAAACAAATATATGTTGCACGTTTCAGTGAATGTGCTAGAATTTTTTTTCTAACTCTCATTGAAATATTAACAGTAGTTATGATAAACTTTAATGGCACTGTACAACAATATTTTCAAGAGGAGATATAATTCAGATGTGGATTCTAATAAATTTATTTACATGTAATTCTAAATCTCAAATTTTACTTTAATCAATCGTATTTAAAGAAGCACTCCTCATGATAATTTATACTCAGATATTTATGACATCATAGACAAATTCATTTTGAGATGAAAATGGAAATCGTAAACTAATCTACCATATTATTGAATATTTTATCAGATAAGCTTACATCTGAAGTATTTCTTACGACCACAATCACTAGACAAAATGCGCCGTTCATATAATTTTGCAGCATATATCAGATGTATATCTTAGTTAACAAATCTGGGAAAAACTACAAGTATATTAATCCAAAGATTCTGGATGAAAACAGTACCACCGGAGAAAAGATGTTTTAAAATCCAGCAAGCAAATTCAAAAAATTGTGTTCCTCATCTTTCGGTGTCTTTTTGGGTGAGATGTAATTATTTATGGCATATTGTCAAAAATATGAACGCCCTATCATATGTCATTCAGAAGTTATCAACGAAGTTGCATTTTCTTAAGTAAGGTCAATGGTCAAGGTCAAGGGGTCAGAAATCATAAAATGCTCGGAAATATCTTGTCACAGGTACTGCACATGTCAAATATGAAAGCCCTATCTCTTCTCAAAATAAGGAACAATACGTGTTTGTGAAACACTGATGACCCCATATGGCAACGTACCGAAGATTAAATTTCTTTTAAATGCAAATTAAATATATTAGTATCCAAAGTAGTGTCCTCTCACAAGAAATACGACTAGCACCACCTGTTCAAAAGTTATGGCCAAAGATAAGTTTTTGAAAGGTAGGTCAAACTTCAAGGTCAAAGGGTTAAAGTTGTTGGTTTCTTAAGGTCTTGTCACAAGTATTACATATGTGAAGTATGAAAGCCCTAGCCCTAACCGTTCAAAAGTTATGGCCAAGGTTAAAGTTTTTAAAAAGTAAGTCAAAGTTCTTGATATCCAAAGAAAGCTCTTGTCTCAAGAATTTAAAATGTGAAGTATGAAAGCCTTAGCCCTAACCCTTCAAAAGTTATGGTCAAGGTTTTTTTTAAAAGTAGGTCAAACTCAAAGGTCAAGGTCAAAAGGTCAAAGTTCTTCGTATCCAATGAAAGGTCTTCTCAAAAGGATTACATATTTGGAGTATAAATGCCCTAGCCCTTACCGTTCAAAAGTTATGGCCAAGGTCCAAGTTTTCTCATAAGTACGGAAATCTCCAAGGTCAAGGTCAATAGGTCAAAGTTGTTGGTATCCAATGAAAGGTCTTGCCACAAAGAATACATATCTGAGATATGAAAGTCCTAGGATCTACCGTTCAAAAGTTATGGCCAAAGTAAAAGTTTGGAATTTTTTGTGTAAAAGTGGGTCAAACTCCAAGGTCAAAAGGTTAGATTTAGTGGTACCCAAAGAAAGGTCTTGTGTCACAAGTAATACACATGTGAAATAAGAAAATCATAGCTCTACTATATCAAAAGTTAAAGTTTTTGTGATGGACGGATGGACAAACGAATGAGATTTAATGTCACCTCGCTTTTGCGAAAGCGGGGGACAACAAAACTTACAGCCAATACTTTTTTCAGAATGAGAGAATCAATGTATATTGCAATGTATACTGCACTTTGCTTGTATTGGCTTAACTAATAATGTTGGTGTCATTAAACAGATTAAAACCTATATTTTAATATAAAAGGTACCATATGAATAGCAACATAAATTTTTGATGATCCTTCGTGTCTAGGAAAGAGTTATTGACCTTTATCTGACCTTAATACGTAAATAAGAGGCTTGAAACGCCATCAGAAAGTGATATTGTCCTTTGTGAACAGACCTTTATTAAAATAAATATCACGAACATACCTTGAAACACGTAGTACAAAATGATAGTTATTAAACATTATATTACTTATTACTTTTGTTAGTGAATGCCTCAAAGAGATATTCCTCTAGTCACATTGTTATTTTCTATCGCGAAATTTTTTCTCTCTCCAAATTTACAGGGTTATTTCTCTTTGTTTTCCCAAATAACATATTTTATGAAAATCCTTATAAATGTATACATAAATACGAAAAATTATTCAAATATATATGTTAACTTTGGAAAATTGACTTGGAAGTTGGTGGGAAAACAATACCATCTTCGCCGTTCTACAAAAACTACACTAGAAACTCTAGTATTTTTGAAAATGATTTTTTTAGACGAATAAAACTTGCAATCAGTTTTGAAATTCATGCATATTAAAATAAACATTTTTCCAATAGTTCATGGCTTTGAAGTAACAACAAATGACTCTTCAACAAACATAAATTTAAGAAAAAACACGGAAAAATTGTACAGGGTTTAGCACAGTAGAGCACATTTTATTGTTTCAGAGAAGTAGTATAATTGGCGTTTTCTCTATTTCTGGAGCTCCAGATCAAACATGTAGAGAGCCAGTCCAGCACTGTGCGATTTCTTCATCAGATTCAGGTGAGCTACAAGGTCCCCGAGACGTTTGATGATTCGTACCTGGCTGTCTACGAGGTTCTCATCTAAGAACAGCTTCATCTGGATTCAAATAAAAAATATGACTGTCTTTATATCCTTTACGTAATTTAGATACTTTATCCTTTTACATTATATTAATTATTGCTCTTCTCATTTTGAATTTTACTTTCAAAATTTAATATAGACAAACAACTTTTACAAGTACACAAATCCACGCAATATGATTTTACTTAGTCGTTGGCAGAATAGGCCATGGCTGCATTAATTAATGAACTGTTAACAGCTGAACCCTTGGATCAGATGTTCAACGCGTGGTGCCTAAATCACGTGACAATTCAAGGAAGATAATCATACAAAAACAAACAAGCTGTGTTTGACTCTCAGATAAACTGATCTAATAAATAGCATTCAATCCTTTTATTGATCAAATCTTATTTGACGCCCCGTTTGAAAAAAATTCACTCAAATTGAGAAGTCAACGTAATTAAGTACAATGCTTCAAATGTATAGACTCGGCACTCTGGGTCATTGAGCAGTGAGGTTTCATTATCTTTTCATCTCCTGTGGTGACAAAAGTGGTAAGGTCTCCAGAACCCACAACTTTCGGTTCAGAGTACCAAGTTTCTTTTTTAACAATTATCCCCAAAGCTTGCAAAAAAAAAAATTGAAAAAAAAAAAAAATGAAGCAATGACCCATTCGACCTTAAAATTACATGTTTATGACACATTATGTTTCCCAGAAATGTTCGTTAAATGTCAGTAGGTAAGGGTCATTTTACAAAAAAAGATTTAGCCCTCTTCCTGTTATTCATCACACCTGCAGTAAGCTCTTTGTATTGATTAGGAAGCAGAACATTCCAGTCAAACGCAGTAAAAAAATAGAGGCACAACAATTGGTATAAAGCAAGTATCCACGATAGAACCCAGTGAGAGATTATTTTGGCTGATGAGGTCATTTTTGACAGCATAACAGATCTTCATATCGAATTTTTTTTTATATAAAAAGTATCATGGTCATTTATTGGGTTTCCTCTTGTGATATTGTATTAATGTCACCAAGAGGACACGTGATTCTGGAGGGGAAGGGGAGGTGGAATTTTTTTTTCATTTCGTTTATTTATTTCAATGTCTGCTTTCTGAGAATGAATTAAGAGGTATTAAAAGCAAATACGTAAAGAAATTTTTAGGAAGGTGGACTAAATTTGGGGGGTAATGAAACTTCTAAAGCCGATTTCCGTAAAAAAGAACTTTTAAGAGATCTGTTAAACCTTGGTGGGTACTTTTTCATGCACTATAGATCCCCCCTCAACTATGATAAAAATT